GCGAACTTAGTGCGACTAACCTTCGCTCGCGGTATAGAAGGACTGGACCAGCAAATATGGCATCAAATTGAGATTGAGGTTACTCTCAGCCGAGAGGAGCTATTACGACATGTACCCAACCGTCCATCACATATAAACCCCAGAAATGAAAGCATTGTCTCCTCTCCTCGCTATTCCGTCTTCAAGATATGGCTCTGAGCATTATGCCAAACGCTACTGAGGACGTAGGCTTCGGCTAGAAGCACTTCTATTTCGTGGTCACCCCATGATTGGGTGGGAAGGGACTGCAGGAACATTATGATTCCCTGAGTGAAATATGAGCATTGGTTCATTTGGTACATAATGGAACTCACTTGAAAGTCCATCGCCCTCAGTTTCTCACCCCAGCTCGTCAAGAAAGCACAGCATACATAAATATGAAACTCTGAGAATGCATTCGATCCTTCCGACTGAGGAGATGTGAGTCAACAGGGGATTTGAGCCAGCTTATAAACATACCAGATAGGTATCCCACATCCGGATGGTATTCTTTACACTTAGTTCGCGCATCAAAAGACAGTTCATCCACCGGAATGCGAACTGCATAAACTCGACGTTTTGAGACTGGAGGTGTTTCGCAAGAGGTGCTACAAAGAGAGCAGTTAGTAAGCGGTTCGAATTCAAAGGAGTCAGGAGGCAATGCATGGGACAGTGTGCAAGTAACTAAATGGAAACGTACGATCAACACGACCCACAAGACCACTCAGATATCGTACACTGCGATGTATACCGGGTTGTCCAGAGATGTAATTGTCCTGAATTCCATCTAATAACTTTGACAGACACCAGAAGCAGTCGGCCTCCAAGGCATTTAGCGCAGATGGTGATAGGAGTGCTGGGTCAAATGTCGAAGGGTCCGAATCTTCAGCCATAGAGAGATTGGCGTGATAGCAATTGAAGCGTGTATTAGGAGAGAAACGAAAAACGTTGAGCCTGGGTCGAAAGCACCAGAGCTGGGTACCCACCTATATATCCACCCAAGAATACCTGGAAGAAAGGCGTGACTAGATCGTTGATGCCTTGAACATAGCCGCTAGTTGGATGTCGAATGGCCCAAACATAAAGGATCCTCTCGAGGCTCTATAGATATAGTTAGTCATCCTCCTTGTTTTTATCAGACCTATTAGGGTGTACACATTCCGTGAGAGGTATACATCCGAGCATCTGAGTGTGGGTTCGATAAAAGTGGACACAAACTCACCCTTTGAGTTCCTCTTTCCATCCACAATCGGACACCAGGCCTTGTGCGCGGAACATCAATCTCAATTTGATGCCATATTTGCTGGTCCAGTCCTTCTATACCGCGAGCGAAGGTTAGTCGCACTAAGTTCGC